CTGAATCGTGGCCATATTCCATTTTAAACTTTGGAAATATAAGGGGATGGCAGTTTTGCATTGCATGATTTCTTGAAGATCATAATGAAACTGCGGAACTTGTAAACTAAAAAACTATACAAGTTATCCACATCGCATTAAGCCAACCATTTTTATTCGTTGACTTTAGATACATTGACGTGCTGTTAATTTTTTTTTTTTAAGGGAGAGACTAGTTCTACAAATATCTTCCTGAGAACCGTGACGAACGTTTTTAAATACAGTAAAAATCGGTATCAAAATGTATTTTTTTTAAAAAATGAATGTGGATTGGCAAAAAATGACTTCACACGTGGATCTGCGTCTGGAACAGATGCGGCAGCAAGTTGGGTTAACTGCCTGGCCCATTTTTACTAGAGTTTCGATGCCTTCCTCCCCCCCCCCCTCCCGCCCCCTAACTTATTTCTGCCGCTATTACTGTGTTCCCGATTTCCTTCTCGACGGGGATCCAATTTGCAGGGGATCCAATTTGCAGGAACGCGGGCGGTTTCCTTGGGTTTCACCTAAGGGAGCACCAAAAAAAAAAAAAAAATCAACTAAGAATTAACTCTGGAAGTAAAAGCTAAAACCATCAGCCGACCTTGGCCGGAAAATGGTAATGAACTTTTTAATTAACTGCTTTTCCAATGGAAGGGTCATTTGGGCTGTAAGCCGATAGGTGCGAGGCATTGTGGGAGGCTGCCCAGAGATTCCATCTCTTTGCATATCTATCAGTGAATCTTCAAACTGAAGGGCAGATTCATCTTGAAACCTAAAGGAGCCTTGATTCTAAAGGGGATGCAATCACTTTGCAGTCCTTTCACATGGAGCTTTCCTTCCCCTCCCCGCCCTCCAGCATATTGTGAAGCTATTGTATGCATAGAGGTGTTGGGAATGGTGTTTTAAGTTCAAGCCTATCTGACCGTGTTTGTGGGTGTAAATGTGTGAGGGGGGGAGGGGGGGAATATTATTCTACAGGTGATCATTAAATTCAGGTGTGTAGCTGTGTTGGTCTGAAGCAGCAGAACAAAGTTTTGAGTCCAGTGGCACCTTTAAGACCAACAAAGTTTTATCCTGGGTATAAGCTTCCGTGCATGCATACAAAAAATTATACCCAGAATAAAACTTTGTTGGTCTTAAAGGTACCACTGGACTCAAACTGTATTCAGAGGCACTTTTTGTTATTTGTTTATATATGGCGCAAAACACAAGAGACCGCTGGTTGAAATCACTTAAAGTGACACATTGAAATTTATGGGACTTTACTTCTCTGTACTATTGTGATTATTTTTTTTGCAATTGTGTTGTTTCTTGTAAGAATACTCAGGTTTCACCTAGTTACACTGATAGTGAACTTGGCATTAAATATAATTTCAACCAGCAGTCTCTTGTGTTTTGCACCACTTCTTGTACGCTGGTTCCACTCCCTTTTATTAGTTTATATATGCCAAGGGGCAACCCTGGTGTTGGAAACCAGTTCTGGAGTGAGCCAAGCCTATCTAGACAGCTGAACATGAAGGTGCTTTATACTATCAAATCAGTGTCCTGTTGTGGTCACTATTGTCCACTCTGATTGGCAGCAGCTCTTCAGGGATCCCAGGAGAGATCTTTCATATAACTGTATCCTTTTTCTTGGAATTGCTGGGGGTTAGCCTGGAGACCTTCTACATGCTAGGCAATGCCTCTGAGCCACAACCCCTCCCCCCTCAAATACTGTCTGACTGTCCAATGAAAGGATCTGGGTTTTAATAATGGGCTTGGTTTCCAAGCCAAAGAGTGAATAAAAAGGAAAGAGGGCTCCAGAATCTCCACTGAATGGATAAAGCCTGCTTATCTTGAACACACACAATCCACATGCCCAGAAACACACTGCACAACGGGACAGGACTTATGAAATTAAAAAGCAGAGTTGACTGTTAATTATCAAGGAGTCACCAAGGGCCAGGATCAGACCCCACTGCAATGATATCTCATTTCATTTTCTTCCATACAAGTGAAACTGTACACACTTAGCACACAACCTGTGTGACAGACATTGGAGAGCATGTGTGGAACATGTGTGGAGAGCATGCAATAAATGTGTGCAGCCCCATAGGGTGTTTTGCAGAGCCCAAGAAAACATTAATAGTTTACTTATTATGACAATGGATCACGATGGGTAGCCGTGTTAGTTTGTCTGTAGCAGTAGAAAAGAGCGAGAGTCCAGCAGCACCTTAAAGACTAACAAAACATGTGGCAGGGAATGAGCTTTTGTGAGTCACTGCTCATACCCTGGCTTATACCCTGCCACATATTTTGTTATCATGACAATGATCCCCCTGAAGAGTCTTCTGGTGCAAGCCCTGTGCAAAGTAGTGGGAACAGTACAAAGGCATAGCCTGCACTCTCTTTGGCAGAGACACTCGTCAAGGATCTTCTCTGCAAGGAAAAGGGTATGTGGAGGGAAAAGGCCACATTGGGAATGTTTGCTGCAGCACCATGCCTTCCACAGTGCAGACCATGCTCCCAACACCGGCAGAAGTTCATACAACGCTGATCACTTAGCCGGTTCTGTGTTTTCCTGGGCATGCAAATCTGCATGCATTTATTATTTTAGTGGCTATGCGTGCATTGTGCTAGAGCAGATCTGTGCATAGGAATATGAATCTTGGTGTGTGTGTGGGGGGGGGTGAGTGAGCATGCACTTGCATGTAATTCTGCATTCCTTTACTGTGCTACATCTCTTTATAAGAGTATGCGGAGGTCTTGTTTGCTTGTCTGTGTGTGCATCATTCTGTCCATAGGACTGTGCACGGATTTCTTTTATCAGTGTGGCTTGATTCTCACTGAAGTGGCAAACCCGCAGCTGGGCTTCAGTGTCTGGATGGGAGCTGACTTGACTGCGTGGTCCTTGAAACAAACAAACACAAACAGTCTGGGTGTATGCGATGGAGAAGGGTTCTAGCCTAGACCTTAACCTGAGCTCTTGTCCCACAAGGTGCAGCAGCAGAAACTATTCACCAAGCTCATATCTCCCATAAAAATATCACTGAAGCCTCCCTCCAACTTCAGGTTGTCTTCATGAGATAGTGTTTCTGAGCATGTGCAGAATATTTTCCCATAGTAACCAAAGATGGTCCCAACATGCCTGAGATTATGGCTGTGACTTTCAGACTAGGTTGCTGAGCGTCTCTCTTTTTACTTAGGAGACTCATAATTTTTAGAAGTGTGTATGGTTTTAGGTGTATGAAGAAGAGGAAGAGAAGAGATTGGATTTATACCCTGCTCAGAGCAGCTTACAAACTCCTTTCCCTTCCCCTTCCCTCCCCACAACAGACACCCTGTGAGGTAGGTGGGACTGAGAGAGCTCTGAGAGAAACTGCTCTTTTTCAAGAACACCTCTGACAGAACTATGGCTTGCCCAAGGTCATCCAGCCAGGTGCAAGTGGAGGAGTGGGGAATCAAACCCGGTTCTCCCAGATTAGAGTCCCCGCACTTAACCACTACACCAAATTGGCCAGTTTGGTGTAGTGGTTAAGAGTGCGGACTCTGATCTGGGGGAACTGGGTTTGATTCCCCACTCCCCCACTTGCAGCTGCTGGTGTGGCCTTGGGTCAGTCATAAGTTCTTTCAGAGCTGTTCTCTCAAGGACAATTCTCAGGAGAGCTCTCTCAGCCCCACCTACCTAATAGGGGAGGGGATTGTTGTGGGGGAGGGAAAGGGAACTGTAAGGGAGGGAAAGGAGTTTGTAAGCCATTCTGAGACTCCTTCAGGTAGTGAAGGGTGGGGTATAAATCCAATTTCTCCTCTCTTCTTCGTTTTTAATGCCCTGACCTGGCTGCCCCAGGCTTTTCCAATCTCACCAGGTCTTGAAAGCTAAGCAAATTCAACCCTGGTTCGAGCTGGGATGGAAGACCACCAAGGAAGTCCTTAGCTAATATGCAGAGGCAGGTAATGGCAAACCACCTCTGAACTTTGATGGGTACTTTCCATCGCCACCACATTTATTAGGATGGGTGGGCTTCCAATGGGAATGGCTCTGGAGTGTGTGTGTGTGTGTTTGGTCCTCTTGGGTTTGTGCTTGGTCTGGTATTAGAAAAGCATATGTATTTTACGTAGGTCCATCTTTATTTCCAGGGAGGCCAAATGCAAGTAGATATATCAATTGCCGTGCTTGCTTGACATGATATGTCTATGCATGGGTGCCTTTGTGTGGATGATTTGTATTTCACAAAGACCCACATGCAAATACACAGCCTTGTTCCATTTTCCAGAAACAAGGACTCCTCTCTGGGAAGGATCTGATCTGAAGGACTCTGCATGCAGTTTGTGTGTGAATGTGTGTGTGTGAGAGGGAGGGAGGGGAGAGCCCCTCCCCTACTTCTCCTTCCACCTCCAAGTGGGGTTTTAATTGAACTCTCCCCCTCCCCAGCGGCAGACTCCAGATCTCCCTCAATCTGGTCTGATGTGATTTCAGATCAAACACAACCTTGGGGTTTAATTAGCAACACAAAAGGGTAGCTTGTACCTGGGGACAAGGTTTGGCTCCAGGGGCCTCTTGGAGAAGGATCCCACGTCTAGGAAGCGTCTCTCACCTTCCCGGCTTCCCCTGCCCTCTCCAGCCTTCCCTAACCTTATCGGCCTTTTTGCAGGAGGATCTTTCCTCCCACCCCCCTTTCTCTACCTGCCCGTCTCATTCTGTTCTTTCCTCCCACCTAGGTGTGAGCTAAGCCCAACTACACAAGAGGGGAGAAGACTGCAAGACGGAAGCATCTCCTAGCTTTTGATGGATGGTGCCAAATGGGAAAAAGCTAACCGGGACTGCATCGCCACCTATTAGGACATTCTGGATCCCCTCGAGAGCAGTCCCTGCTGGACTTGATTGGGGACTGCCTGGTCCCTCTTTGGGGAGGAAGGAAGCCCTACTCTATTCCCAAAGTGTTCGAATCAAAAGTTTTGAGATCAATTAGTTGTGTTTTGGAGCCCGATCCACACCTTCAGAGATGTACCAAGGTTTAGCCATGGCAGCCAACCATGGCCCACCAGCATACGAGGGGGCCAGCAGTTTTATGCATGGCACAGCAGCTGCGTCGCCAGTCTACATCCCTACAACAAGGGTCACCACCATGATCCCCAGCCTGCCATACCTCCAGGGAAGTGGGTCATCCCAGCAAGGCAGTCCTGTCTCCAACCACTCCATCTGGACTCCACCTGGGGCCGAGAGCGTTGCGTACAACCCGGGAGCCGCTCACCCATCGGTGTCCCCCAGGTTCTCCTTCGCCACTGGCAGCCCCATCCCGGCCACCACCACCAGGGAGGCGGCAGCCTACAGTAGTTCACTCAGTATCTCGGCCAACAGCAGGGAACAGTATGCCAGGAGTTTCAGCGGGTCCTATTCCAGCCCCTATCCTGCCACTTACATGAGCCCAGAGCTGGGCACAACCTGGACTGCCTCCCCCTTTGACAATGCCGTGCTGCACAACTTCCAGAACAGGGGCACACCAGGAGCTCCAAGACACACCAACTTAGGTAAGAAGAGATTTATCTTGTTGAGTTCAGGCTTCTCTAGCAAGGGCTGCATTCGAAGCTGGGTTGATGGAATTGCGGGTAGAAATTTAATCAAATCAGTGAAATGTAATCAGTGAGTCTAACCAATTAATTTACTGTTGAAACTCACTGAGCTATCACAGAAACTCAGTGAGCGTGCCATTTGGAGGACCCTCCTGAAGGAATTATATTCAAATTATTTTATATTCAGTTATATTCAAAGACTTTTGACTGAGAAAATAACAGAGATCACTTTTCATTCTATCACATTTTTATCGTGCCCTGTCTCTAAAGAGCTCAGGTGGCAAAGGTGATTCTCCCTTCCTTTTTTTAAAAAAAATTCTTTTTATACTTTTTTACAATGCACAAAACACGGTAAACATAACCAGGAAAAATAGGGAGGTACAGATTACAACAAGATAAGAATTAGAACCATTGGGGGAGTACAAGTTATAAAAATAACAAGACAATCCCGGCTATTAACTATATTTACTATGGTAACTCTGTGTTTATTCATTACTCTGTGGTTCCTTTGGTGGACCACATGAGCCTCAGGGCGCCGTGTTTAGGGCTAGTGTGATAGAGACCAAACCTTTATGTTATGCTAATTGGAGGATTGGGGTTTGTGGCAATTTACAGGAACAACCACCTGTGATAATTGGGATTTGAGGGAAGTATTTCCTGCTCTGTCATATATTTTATAACTGGTGCCCATAGCCTTGTGAACTTCACGTGTGGTGTGGTATTTGGCGGACGAGATCCTCGGCTTAAATCTGCTATTTTAGCCATAACAAACTGTTCCCAGAGGTTGTCATGCCATACCGTAAGTGTTGGGTGGGTGGGAGATTTCCAAAAGGCGGCTATTGTTAACCTGGCTGTTGCAAGCAATACTGACGTAAAGACCCTCACTTCGACCTTGATGGAGTCTTCCCATTTGTTTAACAACATGATTTCTGGTGTACAGGAGATTCTTTGCTATTCTCCCTTCCCTGTTTTAACTTTACAACGCTTTAGAGGCAGGTAAGATTGAGGGATGGTGATTGGCCCAGGATCAACCAGTGACCTACACGGCTGAGAAAGGATTTGAACCCAGATCTCCCAGCCAGTCCCTAGTTAGGTTTGGGAATATGCACTGTTCCCCATTGCAGGAAAGCAAAGAGAGATTTAGAAATTTTAAAAAGTCATAGAACCAACAGTTTTGTGGATCATCCATGTATTGATCATCTATGTATTTGGGGTTGGACTAGATGACCCTGGAGGTCCCTTCCAACTCTATCATTCTATGATTCATTTTGTTAGATGGAAGGCCATTGGAGGTCCCATTTCTATGTTATATTATTGGCAAGGGAGCCAGTTTTCTGTGATATTGTTCCCTGGTTTAGGGGTTGATGATAGCCTGGAAAAAGTGTCTAGCCCCTTTAAGAGAGGGCACCTGAAACTTTTCATGGCACAGAGGAAATTCCATCACTGGTAAATGATGTCCCATTAAGCCTCTCTCAAAGGGGCAGGGCATTTTTTTCTCCAGGCCGTTGGCAACCCTACATGGTGCTGTTGTTGGATTTAAAAGAGCCACACTAAGAAAGTGAAATTGCTTAAAGAATTTTGGATGGGATCACTAACTCAGCATCTGCCCACTCTCTTGTCATCCCTGGTAGTGTAGATTCCACCCTGAAAAAAGACCGTGTTTCCATTGGTTGAAGATACATACTCTAAGGTGGAACCATTGCTATGTCCAGAGTGGTTCAGGATGAGACAGATTTTTGAGGCGTTCACAGGTTGTGCAATTTTTAATCTAACAGTTACATTTTTGTTGAATTTAAACAATCAGAGCTTGCAGACTTTAATCCCTAGATCCTAGCACTACAGAGGTCACTAGGACGTTCAAGAATTGCAAGCCTGATGGGAAATATTATTTTTAATGTGCCACAACTGGTTGGAGAGGTCATGTGATAGCTCTGGTCTCATCCATCATGGCCTCTTCCAGCTATTAAAACAATAAAAGATATATCAATTAATTGCTGCCTGGCTTTTAAATAACAAACCTCCTAAGGAATACTTCTCTAGGTAGTGCTTTAAAGCATTTTTCATCCTGTATCTCAGCCATCTTTGCTATCACAACAGTCTTAGAAGGTAGGATTGTATTATTCTGAACCATTGTGAATTGGTGGTTGTTGAGACAACTCAGGTGACCAGTGCTGTGGTTCCATCCTTCTGATCAGCTCAGAATTCTTTAGCTATGATTTTAAAAGTGCTGACTTGTTAATTTTGGCAGAATGTAGAGGTGCGCATAGTGTGTTCACTGTAAATATATTAAGGATGTTTTCTTGCACAAGTCCTGCTGA